TCTTTTTTTTTCAGTTCTACCACTTTATTGCGACCAACTCATCTCCCTCCACCATCGTGCACACGTGCTCAGTCATGCAACCCCACGGACTGCAGCCCGCCAGGCTCCTCTGTCCATGGACTTTTCCAGGCAAGAATTTTGGAGTGGGTTGCCATTTCCTTCTCCAGGCCCTGTTCGATTCTAACTGTTGTTTCTTGACTTGCATACAGATTTCTCAGGAGGCTGGTAAGGTGGTCTGGTATTCCCATCTCTTTTAGAATTTTCCACAGTTTGTTGTGATCCACACAGTCTAAGGCTTTAGCATAGTCAATGAAGCAGAAGTAGATGTCCGCTGAACAAGTGATTAGCAAATAGTCTGGTATAGCTATAACTTAGGGAAGATGGCAGGATGTAACAAAAGTACAGCCAGAAAAGCTGAAAAGGGCTCATTAGGAAGGGACCTGCTTAGACTTTGAAGTTTTATTTTGGATAGAGAAAGAGATTCCGAACTTCTCTGTCTGTCTGTCGACATGTAACTTGGTAATTCCTTTCCCACTAAAACCAGTAGGACTGCCCCTGCCAAAGCATTTCTGAAACTCTCCCCAACTCCCACCTCTTTAGTTTATTTTTGTCTAGTTCTAAAAATCTGCTTGTCATAGGTTTTAGGTACAGAAAGTACTTTGGGTTTCAAGTCCTCGGTGCTCTGTTTTCCCAATGTTTGCTTTCCCGAACGTGAAAAAGGCCAGGAAGAATTTTTAGAGAGGGACCATGAGCCCCTTCCTAGCTATCTCCTCAAGCCTTCTTTCCACCTCCCACCCATGGTGTCACCAGGAAAGAGAAGGGACTCTGGAGAGAAGTCCAGAGCTCTCTGCTTGCTTCTTCACTACTGTGCTCCCCCGAGATCTGCATTTGAAGGTCCAGTCTGGGTTACAGACGGAAGAGCACTGGGAGTCCCTCGTCAGGCAGATCCCAACTTGCTGACCAGGCTACAGGGCCCTTATCACCAAACAATGTCTTTTCAGAAGGTCACTTGCTAGCCACGCCACAGGAAGGCAGGGTATAATGTGGCCAACCCTGAAATCCAGGACTCTGGCTGGCTCTTATCTGCAACTCTCCTTGCAAGTTTGAGCACAATCCTTTATCTTTCCGGTCCCCTGCTTCCTCTTCTGCAGAATGTGGAATTAGCTGACCCCTCAGTCTCTCTATATCTGGGAAACTTGGAACCCTGCCCTGAAGTCTACCAGTAATTTTCCTCTCTTCATCAATCAACAAATATTTGTGGATGTGTCCCCATGCTCTGGCTCCTTGCTACATACGTTTGGTTGATCCTTACCCTGGTTTTCTCTCTTTGCGTTTTCTCTTTTCAAGTAAAACGATTAAAAAACTAAAGAGATATGAGAGGGGACTTAACTGGCAGTCCAGTGGTTAGGTCTCCAGGCTTCCAGTGTGAGGGATGTGGGTTCCATCCCTGGTTGGGGAACTAAGATCCTGCATGCTGCAGGGTGTGGCCAAAAAAAAACCCCAAGAAAATAAAACAAACAATGCCAATAACAAACAAACAAACAAAGCAAAACCAGGAGCTATGAGAGGGCTGACAGGATGTTTCTTACTTGGAAACACTTGTCATCTCCTAGAAGCCATGGGAGGTCATCCCCAGCCTGGCTACTTCCCAGGAATAGGCCCTAACAAGCCTTTTCCTTCATTTTCTGAAACTTCAACTCCCAGACGTACATTCTTCCAGGTGATGTTCCAAACTGGGGTTTTGCGTCACTGTTACNAGGCCCTAACAAGCCTTTTCCTTCATTTTCTGAAACTTCAACTCCCAGACTTACATTCTTCCAGGTGATGTTCCAAACTGGGGTTTTGCGTCACTGTTACACACTCACATTGCAAAGGCAAATGGCTTTGGCAATGCTGATTTGTAACAAAAAAAACTGAGATATAGTTGATTTACATATTATAAAAGTTTGAGGTGTACAGCATAGTGATTCACAATTTTTAAAAATTATACTCCATTTATAGTTATTATAAAATATTGATTACAGGCAATGCTGATTTTGTCAGCTCTTTCTCCTGACTGTTCCGGTAGGTGGGTCAGTGATTTATTAATCCTGGTTCACAACTGGCAGAGAACCAGGAAACAGTTCCCTCAGGGTCAGTGAGAACGCGAAGATAAAAAATAAAATAGAGGGTTCTCGTCTAGCTAGAGCCATTTTTGCATATGGTATCCTTGCATCAAGTGTGTCCAGAATGACTTGCCACCTCTCCCCAGAGCTATTAACTGTAAATCAAGAACTCACAGGAGAGACTTGGAGCAAAACACATACTGGATTCTTGATGCAACAAATGACAAAATGAAACTAATCTGAGGCTGCAGGTTTTGGTGGATGCCTGTTGCTATGGCATGAGTCACTCTCTCTAAGATGTAAAGGACAGAATCAAGCTACTGAATGAAGAACTTTCCTTGCTCTATATGTTAATATTTTTATTTCAGGGGGAAATTTGTCAACTGAATAAATGCGTGAGGAGATAACAAGGACATTGCCTGAGAAAGACTGCCATTCAAGGTCCCACAGGCCACTTAAACTCAGTGTCATCACATTGCAGAAAGCAGGGGCTTCACCTTTGCAGATTAAACTCTCAGCCATTCAGTGGTGCCAGAAGTGAGAGAGACAGAACAACCAGTAGACTGAAATATATTCCTCAAGGGCAAATAATTAATATATAAAAAGAAATACAGTTATTAGGCAGATCTAATCTTTTTCACCCCATTGGGAAGCACAGAGAAAAAATGAAATTGTCATCCAAAGAGGCCTTAATGAGCATGTTCACTGTAAAGCTTAGAAGTCCAGCTTTGCTTCTTTCAGTAGTTTACACTTTTCATATACCCCTCCCTCTCTTTATTTAGGCTCTCTGTTAAAACACTAAAATACAAAAAAGCACTTACTCATTCATTCATTTCATAAACATATATTGAGTGTTGCTTACTTGCAGACACTGTTTTAGGCTTATCTACCGTACTGGAGTGTCACTGCCTATGTTGATACCTCATATATATATGTGTGTATTGTGTGTTATTGCACTGTAATTCACAGATTGTCAAATTTACCCTTTTAAGTGTACAATTCAGTGCTTTTTTTGGTATATGCACAAGGTTATACAACCATCACCATTATCTAATTCCAGAACATTTTCATCACCCCAAAAAGAAACCCAGTAGCAGTCATTCTCCATTCTCCCCTCCCTCCATTCCCCCACCCCCCACCTTTCTTTCTGTCAATAAGTTTACCTATTCTGGACATTTCATACAAGCAGAATCAGAAAATATATGGTCTTTTGTGACTGACTTCTTTTATTTAGTGTTTTCAAGATTCATTCATGTGGTAGCATGTATCAGCACTTCATTCTTTTAATGACTGAATAACAGTCCATTGTACGGATGTATCACATTTGCTTTATCCATTCACCAGTTGATGAACATTTAGGTTAGTGTTTCTTCTGAAGCCCTATGAGAACAAGACTCCATATGTCTTGCTCACCATCATATCCCAAATCCTAGTGCAATGCCTGGCACTTATTAGAAATTCATATTTTGGGAATTCCCTGGCTGTCCAGTGGTTAGGACTCTGTGCTTTCACCGTTGGGGGCCCAGGTTGGATTCCTGGTCAAGGAACAGATTCCACAAGCCTCCCAGTGCAGCCAAAAAAAAAAAAAGGTTCATATTTTGTTCAACATTTTTAAAAAAAGTGTTGTATGAATAGGTGTATCAAAAGCAAGTTAGAAGGCTACAATACTTATGGATTATATATTTATCTCCTCAGTAGAGATCTGTGGAGGGTATCCTCTTTTCTGCACAGTGCTGAACTACCCCTCTTCTTTCTTCAGGGAGGAAACTGGGTTAAATTTAACCTTTCTTGTTTTTCTTCAAATCACTCATTTGGATCTTAGCTGAATACAAATTCCCCATTTGGAAACTTACAGATGACTTTTTGGGTATTAAAACATTCTGTTTTTTTCTCCATCATTTCTCATACAGAAATCTCAACTTCCTTCTGCAGGGCTCTTTGCTGCTTGCAAAAGCCTCCTATTCTTTCCAAGCTGGTCACACTGGGACAATTATTACCTATGACAGATCAACTTTTCTTTTTTTAGTTTTAATGTTTCTTTACACTCTGTTTTGGCTCCTTGCTTTGTTAGTATCTGACATTGAGAACAAGGAAGTCAGTTAGACCAGGGACTGAGTGATAGTCCTAGCCAGCACTCAGCACTTAAAAAATAGCTGTTGAACAAATGAATGAACGAAAGAATGAATGAGTGAATGTGAGTAAGTGAGGGAGACATTGCGAAACAGACTCGGTGAGCAAATATTGGGTACCTGCTGTGTCCGAGTCCCTGCGATGCATACCTGGATAAACGATAAACAAAACAGGAGTCCTTCCTTGAACCAGGGAGTTTCTAAAATCACTCGTCCTAGCTTCATTATTAGATTTCCACGTCTGTTATCTTCTTGTTTTTTATCGTACACCTGATGATTTTCAGAATCGCATTTTATCTAAGAATCTACCCATTTGCTTAAGTCCAAAATAGGAAGTTCTGATCTACTGGCAGCAAAATCTGGAATCACAAGCACCCCCCCCGCCCCCAGCCCTGTTTAATCCAGGAAAAACTATCAAGTCCCAGAACGCTAAGCTTCCTGGTGTTGGAGGTGCCAGGACGTTGAACCTCAGATAGAACGGACAGCACGTCCAGCAGAGGGTGCTGAGGGTGCGAATTCGTGCCGGGAGGGGAGCTTGACCAGTGACCCTCGGGGCTAGGTAGGCGTCTGGAGTCCTTTCTCTTCTTCCTCGGGTTTCCTTCCCACCCCCCGGACCACCGCCGCCCCCCGCCCACGGGAGGATTCCCCCTGAATGACCAGCTGCTCTCGGGGGCTTAAAGGTGCCGCGTCGCCTCTCGTCCAGACCGCGGCTAAGGCCACTCCGGCCCCGAGGCGGTCGGGCCGGGTGGGGCGGGCGGGGCACCCCCCGTATGCCCGCCCAGCCCTGCCCCCGCCGCTGAGGACAGGGGGAGGGTCTCGGCCTGCAGGCTCCCGCCCCGCCGGGGCCCGGGCGAGCATGGGCGGCAAGCAGAGCACGGCGGCCCGCTCGCGCGGCCCCTTCCCGGGGGTCTCCACCGACGACAGCGCCGTGCCCCCGCCGGGAGGGGCGCCCCACTTCGGGCACTACCGGGCGGGCGGCGGGGCCATGGGGCTCCGCAGCCGCTCGGTCAGCTCCGTGGCGGGCATGGGCATGGACCCCAGCACGGCCGGCGGGGTGCCCTTTGGCCTCTACACCCCCGCCTCCCGGGGGGCCGGCGACGCCGAGAGGGCGCCCGGCAGCGGAGGGTCGGCGTCCGACTCCACCTATGCCCACGGCAATGGTTACCAGGAGACGGGTGGCGGTCACCATAGAGACGGGATGCTGTACCTGGGCTCCCGAGCCTCGCTGGCGGATGCTCTACCTCTGCACATCGCACCCCGGTGGTTCAGCTCGCACAGTGGTGAGTCCGCGGGCGCCGGAGGCCTTGGAGGGTGGGGTGCCAGGAAGGGCGCGCCGAGGTGCCCCGCACCTTCGCACGCGTGCACGCAAACGGTCTGGAGGTAGAGTGCGCGACCTGGATCTGGCTGCTGTCCCCTTGGTTCCTGAAGCCAAGGGATGAATGGAATACCCACCTTCTAGAAATAAGGCTTTCTGAGAGGCCGAGGAGAGCCAGGTGTGTCAGGACTTAAAGCGTTGGTTCACTTGTGGATGCCTGTTGAAGTCTCATTCATTGGCCTCCCCGTCCTCAGAGAAGTCTGGGTGGTAGCAAATCGGCCTCCGTGCTTCCTTTCTGTTACTGCTGCATTGTGCTGGGTACTCCGGTAACACTGAAGGATCCAGTTTGACCGAGCATCTCAGACAAAGGGTGTGAAAAGAAAATTGGGGCCAGGTGGGGTTTGGATGAGGGCAATTGCTCTTGCTGAAGAAGTGGGTGCCCAGTTTTGCGGCTGTGTTGGAAATCTGAATCGTTTAAAATGGAGCGGCCGCCAAGCTGCTGCCATAGACAGGTGTGGCCTGCTGGTCGAAGGGCCCAGCCAGGGAGCCTCCCTGGGAGGCTTTGCGGGACCTGGGCTCTGGTTACCCGGCTGCATGCAATAGCAGCCTTGGCTCAGTGACTCTTGGATCCCTCCATCTTTTTTCTTCTCCATGCTAAAGTGCTTGGGTATTCTGCATCTTTTTGTGTCCAAGACATGGCAGTTCTCTTGCCCGGCTGTTGGCACATGTCAGGGGGAAAGGAGGAGTCAAAGGACCTGGTTGAATTCATTTTGTGAACTTCTGGTGACAGGTCAGCAAAAAGCTGGAGGAGGATTTCCTAGACTCTGGCAGGGCAGAAAAGACACTGGCAGGAGCTTCTGGAGGAAAACAGGTCCGTCTGCTTAGCTAACCTGAGAAATCAGGTTAGGCCTCTAGAAAATTGGTCAGAAGGGGTGTGGGGCCGCTATTTACTAATTGACAAGTTGGAGTGAAGAAGTTAGCATATTCAGACTCCTTTGGGCGACTTCAGAAAATTTAGATACTGTGTAGAAGAAAGATTGCTCTATGGAGGATTTATCTGTTCGATCACTGCTTGCTCTTGTGAAATAGGGGAGACACTTTGGATCTCTATTTCTGGAAATAATGTTCTTTTTTTTTTTTCAATTCTTTAAACTGATTGTGAAATGATTTTTAGGGAGGAATAGTGACTAATTTAGGATAATCCTTGAAAGTGGCTTTTAATTGCTAGGATGGAATTTTAACCCCTGCACAGATGTCTAGATATCATGGACTCTGCCTTGAAGAGATGTAGGGCCTGATTACCTCTGGCACTTTCAGACATCATTTGAGCAGCTTTAGACATCTTGAACTTAGTAATCTTCCTTATAAAATTTGGTCTAGAAAGGATCAGGTGTATTTTTGAGGTGATTGTAGTTAAGTTTTTAAGAGAACTGTCATTAGTGTCTGAGTTTAAACAGAAAATAACTATAAGGCGGTTCTCAAAAGTCACAGGTAGAATTTTGTGTGTTGCAGGAATGTAATCTTAGAGTAGGAGTTCCCTTTTTCTGCTCAAATTTCTTGTCTGTCTTTTACCAGAAAGTTCTTTTTCCTTATTCTGCCACCAAGTTCCATGCCGGAGTCATGAGCTTGCGTTTGGATTCTAAAATTCAGACCCCTCAGCTGTAAAACCTTAATTGTTTTTTTCTTTTTCCAGCCAGAGGTTAGGAAGAGCCACTGAACCAGGGACTACAGGAAAAGTTGAAGCATATTAATCCCTTGAGGGGTTGACATTAAAGTGTGTGTGTTGGGGGTGGCTCTTAATATTTCAAGTAATATAGTCATCATAGGGCCATCTTGGCCTTTGGCAGGACATTGGACATACCTGGCTCTGCCATTCAGCACCCACACAAGTTTCAGAGCGCCCTTGATTGGGGCCGGGTGTCACCTGATTGAGAACCACTGCCTTAGGGATTTGTTGTTTTATTCGAGTGAAATAATTAGTTTTTCCTGTGCAGCTCATTTGAGAGGAACTTTGATGCTTCCGCTCATCTGCAGTGGTGGTTCTCTCTCGCCTTCTGGAACAGGCCACAGGCCCTTCCTTCCAGGACATCCCTTTCCTCTCTTGTTCGCCGCTCACTTGCGACGATGAGAAACTTGTTTCCATCCTAGGGCCTTTGGGTAAGGTCCCAGCAGTTCTCACTCTTGTGTCTGAGGGAGCAGAGGAGTAAGGATTTCAGGGCATGGTTGACTAGGTGTCTGGAAGTTGTTGTGATCGTTGTTTGTGTTTCCAAGGTGCTTCTGGATCTCTTCATGGGCACAGAAAACAGTTGTCTGTGAAGTAGGGGAGTTCAGTGAGCACTCCTCCTCCTTGGAGGAGCTGAAACCTTGGATGAGACACCTCAGCTCTTTTGAGTCTTTGTTGTTTTTAAAATACAGATACAGCCTCTAAAGGTTGTTCCCCAAATCCTGCGAAGATACAGGGCAGTCACATTTGCCTTCGCCAGGGTTGTGACCCTAGCTTGCTTGCTCTGTCTCCTTTGCCTGGAATACTTTTCCTTCTTTTCCATACGTGGGTAACCTTTTATGATCCCTTTAGACTTTACTTAAATTTCTCCTCAGGGACCAATCAGAATTGCCTCCCTCCTGTCAATCTCTCCCATCACTCAGCTGCTACCTTAATAGCACTTAACACACTTTAGTTATCCATATACTCTTTCTATTTACTTCGACTGAATATTTACTCCCTGAGAGCAAGACTGTGCCTCTTGATCACTGTTGTGACTCCTACACTCTGCGTGCCAGCCACAGATATTTGTTGAGTGGATGAATTTGAATGCTGTATGTCCATCACTCACCACCGTAACAGTAGGAGGTAAAATGTTTTTATTCCCATTTTACAGGTGAGGAAACTGAGGTGTCGAAGGAGGTTAGGGAGCCTCCTCAAGGCCAGACAGCTAATGGGAGGCAGAGGTGGGATTGCAGTGCAGGCCTGCCAGGATCAGAATCCGCTCGACCTCTTAGCCATTACCGTCTGCTTCCTCTCATCCTGAAACACAAGGGAGCTGGGGGACCTTGTGGCAGTCTCACCTGCCTGCTTGTCAGAGGGCTGGGCTCCTCTCCTGCTTGGGCTGCTCTGCTCCTTAACTGCCTGACTTGTGACCTTGTGCAAGTGAGTCATTTCACCTCTAAGTCAACAGTGTCTCCACCTGTACAATGGAGATAATACCTGCTCTGCTTACCTTGCCAGGTCACCGTTGTGGTCTCAGGAAAGGGTGTTTACGAAAGCCAAGTAACATGGACTGGAAAGTGGTTATCTTACAGGGGTCACTTCTGTAGTTCTCTGCCTTCTTTCACCTCCTCTGAATCTGCTGGGCAGAGAAACTTACAGTCGTGTGAACTCTGTCCAGAATGAAAGCAAGTGCTCTCTGCTGAAATCTGACCTGTATTGAGGGGGCCATCCATAATAACTAGTGCCATTTGAGAAGAGCCGCCTAATAGAGTCTGAGTCCCTTCTTTTCCACATTAAAATGTGTTTTTCTGTAAGGTTTTTTACTCCTAATGGTTGTCTGGGTGGTATTCTGGAGGTCTGGTCATCCTTTTATAGTCCTGTTTAATTCAGAACGCAGATGGCCACGTGTGGGGGGAAGTACAGAGACCACCATGTTGGAAGGAAGAGGTTGCCCGTTTCCTGGGCCTGAATATAAAACGACCGGTCATCGAGATCTCTCTCCTTCTTAGTCATATGTGTGTATGCACGTGCATGTTCAGAAAACTAAACTGTTCTCTGTGGTCACCAAGCCGCCAGAGGGGCCAATAGAAGGTGAGTTTTGGTAAGTCTTCGAGTCTGCCAGCAGGATAGCTCATGGGTTCTGTTTTGCTGGCACTCTGGGGTTCTCAAGTGATTTGATCTTCTCTATTCTTAAATAATTAGAGAGAGTTGCCAATTCCATTGGAGTAGATCAGAAAGTCTCTTTGTGCCTCACTCTAGGTGTGCTGGATGTAATGGTCCTTTGCGTGGTTTCTGGAGAAGGAAAACCATTCCATGGCCTCCAAGTAGCAGGATGAGTCCTTGCCTTGCAAAAGTTCTATTCTTAATGAAGACTAATTTTGGGGGGAGGGGGGAGACTTTTTACAAATCAGAGTTTTTAGTTCTCTGTTACCATGAGGGCTTGTTTTCTATAAAAGAAAAGTAGGGTCCCTTGAGGAGAAGATAATTTCTTGAAGGTCACAGTTACTTCTTCCTCATTGGGGTTTGAAAGGTGTTGCAAAAAAAAAAAACAACAGTGGTTTCACTCTTAAATGTGTGTTTTATGGGATGTGTACATTTTGCCATTAAACAGAGATACATCCAAAATAGGTCACAAGGAATAATCTCTGAGCCAAAGCCACTCTTTACCAGAAATGCAACTCTAGTTGCTTTTGGGAAAAGGAACATGCTTTGTATTTTACAGATGTGATATTCAACCCAAGTTTATTGGGCACTTACAAACCCAATTTTAAAACTAAACTTCAATTTTGACAGTTTCAAAATTGGGAGAAATGTCATAGGGAAATGGTGGTAACTTAAATGGGCTCTTAGTCTCGCTCTTACTAACCCTTAAGTAGGGGGTGTTTTTAATGACTGGGTCACTGAGGTTGTGGTACCAAAATCTTGAAGTTAGTCCAAAACTTAAATCCTGTTCCTAGTCTTGTAAGGAATGCATACAAATTTTCATCTGTCTCTTTTCCAAGCTTTGTCATGGCCTGTCTCAATCAGATGGTTCCTAGTGATTATGGTGGGTGTAGGCTTGAGTATGAGACCTGGCAGTTCTCACCTCTGAATCTTTAGTTCCTCATAAGGTCACATGTTTATCCTTGAAACCAACAGTTGGGTTCCTGATTTTGATAGGCTGAATGGATGAGGGGTGAGTTGCTGGTGTGAGTGAATAACCGGAAGAGCAACCCTCAAGTGTGAAGCAAATAAAGAACAAAGTTGAATCTTAAAGC